CGGACCGTCCGCTACTGACGAGAACTTGCAAATAATTCCAGGGGCACAGTTATACTGTATAATAACTACTGACGTATATGTTATTGCTCATCTGCAGCTCCTTGTCGTCTGACTTCCACTAAATTCCAATTTTGAACTACCATAGTATATTGGTACTATAATAATAATTATCGACGCATACGCCATTACCGCCCATCCTCTGCGGCGTATTCGCGTTGTCGTAGCATGACAACAACCGCCCGACCCTCTGAAGTATGTTGTACGCTTAAATAACAAAAAGTGTAATTTACACATATTTATACAACACATAGAATTAAGCGTTTAGCCTCATTTACTAATAAACGTAGTTAATTGATAACACCAATAAATCCATTTTCTCACTTGATATTTTACTTAAACAGTTTAAAAAAAATTTTATATTATTTTTAGGGCATAATTGGTTAAGAAACTTTTTGCTATAATTAAGTTCTATTACATTAGTTCATGTCCAATGCTGAATATCTATGATGTCCAATAATAATGATTGTATGTCAATATGTGTCTTTGTTATGAGCTTTTTTAGGAATACTAAAAATGTTATTTATTTACTAAATAAATATTACGAAAATATAAGAAATATTCCATAATTATTAATAATATATGAATTATATAATAAAAATATATATATGTGCTTTTTTTATGTATTACAAATTTCAATAAGTAGTAATGATTAATATAATAATATTAAAAAATTTAAGAAAATCTTATTACTAATGAATATATATTTGTAACTGTAATTTTATTACTAGCTATAAATTGAAATATTCAACATCCATCCCATCATCCTCTCTCTCTCTCTACACACAAATATATATTATCTTGGTTTTAAAATTGATATTATATATATTAGGCCAGTCAACGAAGGAGTAATTTTGGCGAATAGCGGAAAAAATTCCCAACCAAATTTTTTTTTTTTTTTAAGTCGAATTAATATATGTATAATGACATACTAAAAGTCCGCATTTTCTGGTAATGTTAAAAAAAATTGTCATAAAGCGTATTGGCCTTTAGTCAGGTGCTGGAGCTGGTAAAAATTGTGTCTTCCAGAAAACAGGGCTTAAATGTTCTATTATATATGAACATTGCAAAGATCAATGGCTTATAAATTCAATAAAAATAAAAATTGAAGATTAAGAAGATTGTACTTTTGTTGAAGATATATTATACACACTGTGCCAGAACACTGCTGGTTTTTTTTTTAAATAGCGATTAGTTGAAATAGTAGCAATGGGTTTACTTTAATTATTTCATAATTAATTTAATAATTTTTAACATATTTAATAATTTTAACAATAGAAGTTATTGAAGATAGAGTTATAACTTTATTTGACCTTTTAAGATTTATATCATGAAAGTTATTATCCACCATTGAGTTTATTAGAACAAGACCAATTTTATACACTTTATGACAATTAATTTTATCATTTTAGATTGTCGGAATTTTTGTATAGTTTCTATTCCTTGTTTATTGGGTCTTATTCCCTTGTATCAATAATGTTGCCTAATACTTTTAATTCTTGATAGCCAAATATACACTTAGATGGTTTTAGTTTTAAGTTATACTTTAAAAATCGTTGAAATGTTAATTCTAGTGAATGTAAATGAGACTCAAATGATTTGCCAAATGCAACGCAATCGTCTAAATAGCATGTATTGTGTCTATAATTTAAGCCAGCCATGACTTTACAAATAGCAGCTTGATAAAATTGGGGTGCATTTACCAAAAGGTAAACAAGTAAAATGAACATAATAGTTTTCAGTTGAATGAGCTGTAAAAACTCTAGAATTTTCAGAAAATCCTATTTGATGGAAAACTGATGTAGCATCTAAAGAAATAAAGTATTGACAAAAAAAAGTATTAACAAGACAATCCATGAAAGCTTTAACACATTCATAACTTTTTTTTTTTTTTTACCCGTTTATAATTTAAAAATAAAAAATAAAAATAAAATAACTAAAGTATTAGTTTCCTGCTAAACAATCATATAAATTTTGTATTATTGGTAAAGGGAAATTTTCACGATAAATTATTTCATTAGGTTTTTGAAAGTCTATTACCATTTTATATTTTTTTTACCCCTCTTGACTTTTACTGCATTATCCTTGATTTTTAGCAACTAAAAACACAGGATTAGAACAAGGACTTGAAGATTCCTCTACAATACCAGTTTTTAAAAGTTCCTCTGTCTGTTTTTCGATTTCATTACGTTCTACGAGGCTTAGCTTAAAATTAGGTAAATTTATTATTTTATTACTTGATAACTGAAGTTCTAGTGGAGCAATTTTACATGAGGCTAAATCATATTTATGTTTAGAAAAAATTGAACTATATTTCATTAATAAACCTCTAAGTTTATTTTGCTGATCAATAGGTAACGTTGGATTAATGTCCCAGTCTAGTACGTTTTCAGATGTTGTAACAGTAGGAGATAATGAAATATTACTTTTAACGTTTCCTTAGATTTGAGTCGTGTTCGTGTGAGAATCTTTGTTAATGTTTTTTGCTACGTCTTGTTTATCGCTGCGCGTTTTAAATTTTCCTTCTCGTTCAGAAGTCGGAGAGATAGTAAAATCACGTTTAATTATTCTATTTTTCAAAAGTTTTTTCTAATGTCTAAATTTTTAAATTCGTTAATTTGAATAATACTACGAAATGTGCGAACTAATTTAGTATTTGGATTGTAAACTAATGGTGTTCAATGGCAATTTGAAAACAAAACCATTACAAACGATTTGTTAGAGTTTGTAAAGTGTAATACAGAATTTATATTATTGTTTTCTGATATAATTATTAAGCCTAAACCAAAATGTTTTGTGACGGCTGCTTAGTCTTCACTTTCTAAATAATTTGGCTTATCAGAGAGATCAACGCCTAATATTTTTTAATTTCATAAGCATTAATATCTATAACTTTATTATTTAAGATTGCTTCTAGTGTTGATACTCCACCCCAACTGTCTGGTGCTACTTGTGTGTAAAATGTCGCTTTTCGCAACAATTTCACTAATACTCATCTGTACAAGATTTATTGAATGATTAGTTATGAGTTTGATAGATTTTAAATTGCTGAATTTTTTTTGTTGATCAATATTCGTTTTGGATGTCAAGATATTGTTATTGTAAAAAAAATTTATATTTACTCTTTCATCTTTTTTTAATAAAGTAATTTTAGCCTCTCGGGTGTAGATTGTCGCGTTTTATTTTAACGCGTTATCCAATAGGTACTGTTGACACGTATTCACTAATCCACTAAGCACCACACAATATATATATATAGTTATATATTGATTTATAGATATATATAGTTGATTTAACTCCACAATAGGCACAATGATAGTACAAGAAAATGTATATATTTAAATTATACTTCGCACTATAGGTTGCATTAAATATATATCCTTCGTTAATTCGATGCACGTGAGTAATACTAACAGAATCGCAAACGAGAAAAATAAAACGAAAGTTCAATAAAAGTAACGCGACAACCAGTCAAGGTTAACGTCGAAAACGGAACAGATCGCAATATCAATGCTTCATATTCGATGGCGGCTTTGTCACGATGTTAAGGGCGGGGAGACACCCGATGACAACCTATTGTCATATTAATAGCTGGACGGCTGATATCACTGAGAGACACGGGTGAGCTCCAGACTAGAGCGTAGGACGGTGCCGTGTCAATCGTTAAGATTAATATGCAGTCAGACAGTTTTATAATTACTATTTATAGTAAATTTATCAGAAAAGCTCAATATTTATTTTCATTTTTATCATAATAGAAATAATAGTAATCATTTCCTAGTAACTTTTGGTGTTTAAAAAGATTCTACAATTGAAATATTCAGAAATTAATTAATTTTAATGATTTAATTTATCTAAAATAACCAATCAAAACAAAGTTGTTAATAAGATTTACTCAATTGAGCGTATTATAAAATTTGTTTACAATTGTAAAAATCCATTGTTAATTCAGGAGAAACGAACAATCATTTTTTTTAAAAATTGATCTTTTGACGTATTGTTCATCAAAATCGGTTCAGCGAGAGCTAAGATTGAGCGTTTAGACACAAAAAAAAAAAAATCATAGTAAAATTAATACCTTCTTAGCTTCGCATCAAAGCTAAAATTGGCTCAAAACACTATTAAACAAATTATACATTACCAGCCCTGATAGGCTCAGAAATTGGAGGCTGGTTCGGCCGACGCAACGAATACAAAAAAAAAAAATGAAATAGTAGATGCAGTGGACACTCGCAAAAAAAAAATATACAATAATTTAAAAAAATATGCAGCGCACATAATTAAAATAAACTACCGCTACACACGGGAAATATTGCGACCAGTTCCGACTATGGTATTTCCCCGACAACCGTCGTATCAAAAACATCAGACCGACATAGGCGCCTAGAAATCTGGAGCCATTCAGAGGGGTTAAGGTCAGTCGGAAATCACAGAAAAAAATAAAATAAAATTATTTATCCCATACTGGACAGTGTAATATACGTTTAGTGGCGTTCAGTGCATCTGACAACTAGAAAGGGTGGAAAGTGAAGTGTAAACAATTTGATATCTGCCAACCTGTTCGTCGATGTAGTATTTATGATACAGATAACGCGCAAAAACTAATTACAAGTTATCCAACACAAAAATATTAAACGCTGTCGCAATACGCATTCGGCTCAACCAAAATAATTAGGAATATATATATACAAATAGTCAAAAAAATGAATAGATACCTTTTTGTCAAATACTAAAATTGTATTTATAATTTGTCTTTTTTTGCTAAATCAAGACAGTGTCTTTTCTACTGATTTAGCTAATGTATTAAACTTTGTATGAATAGTTTGACTAAAAATAACAATTTTTTTAATGGAATATTTTAATATTTACTTAAGATGTTTTTTAAATTTAAAAATATAAAAAATTATTTCGTTGACTGTATATATAACCCATGTAACCAAAAAAATTGTCATGTGTTATACAGAATTTAACACTTATAGTAAAAATGGAGGTGAGTAATAGTCATTACCTAAAGTCTTTGATTGAATTCTAAAAGATTATTTTATTTTATTGTAGAATTGGCAAATTACATCGGTATTATTGTTAATATCATGTTTGATTTTTAACAAAGGTAAATATTATTTTTTATTATTATTAATATTATTTTTTTTTTATAGCTTTATTAGCCCATTAAGTTCTATAGTGACCTTCCCCAGAGGAGAGGTTACATAACCATTGATACTCCGGTGGTTTGTCCGACGCCGGAGAGAGAGATGGCGACTCTAATTAACCAAGTGATCTCTCATTCGGCAAATGAAGCCGCCCGTGACTGAGTATCAAACCCGAGGAGGTGCGCGTCAAGCTTAGCCGCGTTACCGACCTGGCCATACTGTCCGTTTTGTATTATTTACGCTTATTAAATTTATTATCTATCCATTTAAGTTATTGTATTTTTTTAAGTGATGCACACAGGAATTTTTTAATATTAGTTATGAAGCTACTCTCATAGCTATATAGAGTGATCAATTAAGGATAAAGAACTCTTTTTTTTTGGAAATTATTGAAAATTTTAATTTAAATTTATTGGTCTATCTAAGGTTATGAGAGATCAAAATATGCTTTTCTATGCATTTATTTCAAATATGCAATTAAAGCTTCGCTTATGAACAAAATAATAACAAAATCCTTCTGATTAATATAACAATTATTTATGTTTGATTATTATGTTACGTATTAATATTCAATAAGTATACTTTAACTAAAAAATATATAATTAAAATTATAAATTAACCAAGTGTTCCATAGAAATGCTTAATAAAACATCTGTTTAAATAATTTATTATAATATAAAAATAATAAAACATTTTTAACGAAATGTTGAGTTTTCATCATAAGTTTACTGTTAATAGTAATTAAATAAATTTCTGATAACATATCAATCTAAAAAAAAAAAATATTTTATTCTCCATAAAATTTTCTAATTAATAATATAAATTCTAAACTTGCAAGTTGAGCTAAAATTTTGTAAAAAATTTCAACATTTTTAAATTATAAACTTTCATAAAGATCAACTGTAAAGAAACAAAAAATAAGTTAAATTTGTAATTTTAATAATTTAGTATTGTAATTTATTCGAAGAATTTATAAAAACTTATAGAGTAGTTATTACTTTTATGACAAACAAGTATATCAAACAAGGCCTTGACATAAAACTATTTATATAATAATTTATTGTTAATTATGAATAAATCGTCTACAAAAATTTTTTATCAGAGTCAAAAATTTACTTTTATTATTTAATTTTTCGTGCTAATTTCAAATCAGCAATAATTATTTATATTATTTATACAACTATAAGGGTAATAGTTCTGAATATTTTAATTATATAATTTATTTAAAATCCAAGAGTTTCATAGAAATAATTAGTATTTCTTTTGAAATGATTTCTTACATTAAAAAAATAATTAATAACAAAAAAAACTTGTTTTTAAATTATTACAAATTTTGATTTTTAATATTTTAATAATAATCAGAACAAAATATCACTTTTAACTTATTTTTTTGGTCTTTTTCATTTTTTGAAAATTCATATTAAAAAAAAAAGTTGAATCAGAAACCATTACTTTTAGCTCAACTTCAAGATTGAAATTTTCATTATTAAATAGAAAATTCAATGAGAATTAAAAATATAGTATTGTTATGAAAGTAGTTAACATTTTATAATTACAGTGGAGCCCCGGTAATCCGACAAACGTTTTGCAGGTCAATATCGAACTATCGAATTTGTCGGATTATAGAGTATTCCCTAAGACCTCATATAGTCCGGAAATTTTAACAAAAAGGTACATTGTAATCCGAAAAATCACAAATCCAAAGATAAGATTTGGTCTTGATAGGCCCTGGTGTGAAGTATAAATCATGCTTCATTATGTATGTCGACTTAAGTAAATTAAACAACACAATAGAAAGCTTATGTTTTATTATAAAGTTAACGTCATTAATGCTAGAGAACTTAAAAAAAACAATAACTTTACATTAAGGAATACAATTACAATGTAATTGTGTTTAAACAAATGTACATACTAAAATATTCAAAAATTATGAATAAAAATCATGATATGAATTTATGAAGCATGAAAATATTTATCAATTTTTTTTTGTTTAACATTAAAGAAACGCAAGACCAATGCTCTGTCCCTCAGTCTTCTTAAAAGTAAAAGTTCGTTGTAGGATGCACTATTCTCTTCAAACCCAGTTCAAAGGCATTAGTTGCATCTTGTGCTATCACTTGCGAAGTAGTTGCAATTACGTCGTCGTCATCTTCCTGATTTATGGTTGTATTACTAGATATCTCTTTTATAATCTCATCGTCAGATATTTCATAAAAAATATTTTTCTCCTTATCCAATCCATGGTACCAGATTTCCAAATCTTGCGATCTTATCTGTGTTTCAGCAGCAACTTTCTCTATTACTTCCGAAGTTACACTGATTTGCGGATCGTTGCTAGGACTGGTGACTATATCCGGCCATAACTTTTTCCAAGACGATGTAATAGTTGACGAAGGTAATGCAGTCCACGATTGACAAAGAGCAAAAACCAAGTCTTTCATATTGAATTCTTTTAAAGTTTTTTCTATTGGCTGATCTTTTGATACAGCTTTCAGAAGTAGATTTTTCTTATTATCTTGCTTGACAAACTGAATTATATGCTGATCCATTGGTTGAATCAGTGCAGTGCAGTTTGGTGGAAGAAACATCGCAGTGATACATTTATCCTCAGTTGTCAGTTCTTCTTCAGACGGATGACCGGGAGCGTTATCAATAAGCAATAACGCATTTTGAGGAAAATTATGATTTTTCAACCATTTTTTAACTTCTGGTACAAAGCATTCATCAAACCACTTCTTGAAAAGGTCTTTTGTCATCCACGCACTTTTTTGACCATAATAATGTACAGGCAAATCAATGTTTTTGAATGCACGTGGTTTATTCGATTTTCCAACGACGACCATTTTTAGCGCGTATGTACCCGCAGCATTTGCACATGGTAGTATGGTTACACGCTCTTTACTTACTTTTCGACCAGGTACGGATTTTTCGTTAAAGGAAACGAAAGTTTTGTTTAGTATCACACGCCAAAAAAGTCCTGATTCGTCTGCATTGTACACTTGTGATGGGTTAAGATTTAAATCTTTCACCTTTTGCAAAAATCTTAATTTAAATGGCTCTATGCAGGTAGGGTTATTAGAAAGTTTCTCTCCTGTTTTAGTCATTAAACGTATGCCATGACGACTTTTAAAAAGTTCTAACCATCCCTTGCTAGCCATAAAATCATCTTTTTTTATAATTTTATTATAAAAAAACTTAGCTTTCATGGCCAACATGAGTCCCGAAATTGGAGCATGCCTATTTCTTTCCTGAAGAAACCACATGTACAAAGTTTCTTCCACTTCTGGATGTTCAGCTTTCTTGAGTGAATGTCTCTTGCCTGGCCCACAGTCAGTAGTTGATACGAAGTTTTTAATCTTCTTGTGATTTTTTTTAATATCATAAATTGTAGATCGGCCTACGCCATATTCACTTGCTAAACTACTAAAAGATTCATTACGATTTAAACGGTCTAAAATACCACATTTTTTGTCAGTATTTTGTGCTTTCGCTTCTGGGCTTGAGAAGACATAAATTACCAAGTACGTATACGTAATACACAATGAATAAACAGTACACAAAGAATCTATACTTTGAGCACAATATTGATGGCACAATTGTAACCTGTTCAGTTATGCATAATCTATATTAGCGAAGATTGTAAAAAAAATACCCAATAATAATAGACATGTCGGATTATAAGGGGCGCCGGATTAACCAGGGGCCGTATTACCGGGGGTCCACTGTACTATATTATTGTAAATTTATCAGAAAAGCTCAATAATTTTTATATTTTTATCGTAATAGATCACTTAAATAAAAATCATAGTATTTTTTTAATAAGAACAAATTATCTTGGCGACTGTCTACTATGAGGTCGTCAAATTAAAAAAAAATCACAATTAATCATAATAATTGCAATAATTATAATTACTTATATACTAATGTACGTTTAAATTTTAAATATTTTGTCTTTATAGTACATCAAAATTTTTATTCTAACTCTTTGTACTCAACTGTACGAATCTAGTATGCACTTATCCTATAATAAATAATTATACCGTATAAAAAATAACACGCAATTAAAATACTATCACATTGAGAGTTGATGTAATCAAGTTTTATTTGTGATTAAATAAATAGTAATAAAGCGGTTAAATATTAATCACAATATATTTTAAACAAATACACGTAAAGAAGAGCATAAAAAGTGTCACAATAGTTTTCTGTGAGGAAGTTGAAAAAAGTAATATGTATATATTTTTTGTGCATCGCCGGACCGGTTCGTGTCGGACGTAGAGAGGTAGCTGTCTCGCAGTCGCCATCCAGCGGTAAAGCCTAAAGTGAACTACGACCACTTTAGAGTACTTTTTGGTTTCTAAATACAAAAGTGCTTCAATTATATTTTACTATCCAAAAAATATATATATATATATATATGTATATTTTTTAATAGCAATACATTCATTTATTATAACTATAACTAGTCGAAAAATAGGGATATGACTGAACCTAAAAACTTAAACATTATGTCAAGTCACAATTTTAATTATTTGATGCCCTTAAATATAAAATTTGTATTTTTTATGTCTCTCTCTTAATTAGATATTTATTACAGCAAAAATTAATTAATATTTTTCTCATTTAGCAATTCAATATAAAAATTCAAATGACAAACAAAAATGGCAATTAAAAAAAGACACGACAATAATAGCTGCAGAAAACGGAAATTTGGAATTATTAAAATATGCATTTCAAAATGGATGTAAATGGGATGAAAGAACAACAGAAGCTGCTGCAAATAATGGCCATTTAGAATGTTTAAAATATGCTTATGAAAATGGTTGTAAATGGAATCAATTCAATATTGCAACAAGTGCGATTAGAAAGGGTAATCTAAGAATATTAAAATATATTCACAAAAATGGATACGATTTCAATCAATTCATAACTAACGTTGCTGCTGGTGGTAATCTAGAAATATTAAAATATGTCCTTAAACATGGATGTCCTTGCAATAAAATTACAACTTATACAGCTGTTTTTAATAGAAATCTGGAAAATTTAAAATATTTACATGAAAAAGGATGCCCATGGGATGATAGAATTACTTATGAAGCCGCCATTCAAGGTAACATAAATATTTTAAAATATGCACATGAAAATAGATGTCCTTGGAATGAAAGCACAACAGCAGCCGCAGCTTCTAATGGCAATTTAGAATGTTTAAAATATGCAATTGAAAATGGTTGTCAATGCCATAAACATACAAGTACTGAGGCAGCCATTAGAGGTGATTTAAAAATATTAAAATATGCATATGAAAATAAATGTCCTTGGGATGAAAGCACAACAGAAGCTGCTGCTTTAAGCGGTAATATAGAATGTTTAAAATATGCTTATGAAAATGGGTGTAAATGGGATGAACGTACAACTATTAGTGCTGCCAGAAGAAGTGATTTAAAAATGTTAAAATATATCCATGAAAATGAATGTCCGTGGGGTGAAAGCACAACAGAAGCTGCTGCTTGTAGCGGTAATTTAGAATGTTTAAAATATGCTATTGAAAATGGCTGTAAATGGAATGAACGTACAACTACTGGAGCAGCCATGCAAGGTGATTTAAAAATATTAAAATATGCACATGAAAACGAATGTCCTTGGGATGAAAGCACAACAGAAGCAGCTGCTTTTAGCGGTAATCTAGAATGCTTAAAATATGCAATTGAAAATGGATGTAAATGGGATGAACGTACACCTACTGGTGCAGCCATGCAAGGTGATTTAAAAATATTAAAATATGCACATGAAAATGGATGTCCTTGGGATGAAAGCACAACCATAGCATCAGCTTTATATGGTAATTTAGAATGTTTAAAATATGCTTATGAAAATGGTTGTAAATGGGATGAACGTACAACTATTAGTGCTGCCAGAAGAAGTGATTTAAAAATGTTAA